CCTTAGCGCTCAAATATTTCTTGATGAATCGAGGGCATAACTGGATTGCAATGTGGCCTTCTACCATCCCCTGGATAATATCCCACTCGTCATCCATCCCCTCTCGAAGCCGAGTCCCGATTAGTTTCTATCGTGCGCTGCACAAAGACAACGGAGCTTTTCTATCTCCTCCGCCCCGTATTTAGCCGTATTGAACATCTATTGCTAATAATGTTCGCCGGACGGCTGCCGCCCGGACAGAGGAGCCTGCACTAGGACGACCGGTCACTTTTGCCGCCCACTGGTTCATGACTGGATTTCGTGCCCACTTGGCTTTGCTCGTCATGCTCTCCAGGATAGTCGATAAAGACCATGTGGTGATGTCTAAGTCCCTGCTGATGGCGCTCGCATGCTTGCACTATTGCTTGTAGGTACAGTTGTCAACCACACTCACTGCCTAAAATTAATTGAGTAATAGTGCGGACTTGTTTCCCTTCAGCTTAAATACCGTTAATGTGGGACTCGGTCAAGAATTATATTTACGGTCGCAAACTTGGCTGCAAACAACTCGGCAACCATTACCTTCCATGCTTCACGTTGTGCTGCTTCCTGGGCTGCAATTAATTCCGCCTTAGCCGCTGTGAACATCGCCTCTGCGCTCATTATCGGAGTCTGTTGAAGTCGTGCATCCTGTTATTCGTCTCGTGGAAGAGGAGAAACCCGGCCCCTCTCGGTGTCCTCCACCGACTCCGACTTATTAGTTGGTTCGCCTTGCACCTGCCGAGCTTGATCTTCAGCCCCGGAGATGGCTGACCTCCTGGCTGTCCATCCACAGAGGTCAAGGAGTCGCCTGGTGACAGTAGCACCGCTTTGGTGATGCTACGACCATCCTGCTGCTCCTCTGTGACTTGGAAATCCATATGAGGCGGACTGCATAGCGGGGTCCTGGTCATTACGGGCCCCATTTGTATCGTTTACCGCCAAAGCGGCAACAGGCTCATTGCTGGGTCTGTGTTGCCGGCTGCCCGCACCCGAAGCTGCACTGTGACCCCCCTCGCTGATGATACCGTTCCCCGGTGTAACAGTCTGTGAGGGTTGCGAAAGCCGGTGTGGTTCACATAGGTTTTGCGAGACAGGCTCATAGCCCGTTCCCACCTCCCGTAGGCTGCTGGGCGCCACATGCCACCCTGACCCTCCGGGGTCTGGAGGGACCGGTGTCCCCAGCGACCCCCGTGCGCCCGGTGTTGCTCGAGGCCAAAGCCATGCTGAAAAGTCGCCCTTGCTTATACACTGGTGGTCCTATACGCTGTAACGGTCTAGGTAGTACTAGCTTGTGTCCTTCGTCAAATCCCTGCTCTGTGCACGGCGATTTGAGGAGTGGCCATCTTTTTTTATTTTCAAGTATAAGGGATTAAACATTAATTTAATAAAGGGCGAATACCACTTTTTTGTGCCTAGCTCACTTGCGAATAATCGTGACTGTAGCTTACAATAGACGCATCTTTTCGCTTTAAATCACACTTCTTAGACTCTTTAATAACTTTACATATTAATTAAGATGTTTTATATGCACCAGCTTAGAGAATACCATACGATGGCAATTATTTTGCGGACTTCCTTTCTGTCGTCATTAAATTAAGGGAAATGCTAAATTCACACCCGTTTTTCTCAGATTCACACCCTGTCTTCAAAATCCCATATATACAAGGTACGCAATCGCCGTTGGACAAAGACTAGTACTTTCTCTGCCACTTGGCTACGGGCGACATCTTGCGCGCTGCTGTAGCTGCTGGCACCGACATAGACAGAAAGGTCAAGGCCGCAATGGAGTCGGGCGCACTTGTGACCGACGAGATTGTCGTCGTTATCATTAAAGACGCCAATGAGAGTTCGGAATGCCGTTGGGGCTTTATTGCAAATCATCAAAAAGAGCTCGTATCGGTGTCCTTCCACTGTAACTTGTCCTTTCGAAGTTTCGTACGCTCGTTGTACAATGTAGAGAGGTTTTCTAGGCCACCGTCATTCTCAAAAAGAAAGGATGAAAGAATCCCTAACGGTCTAACACCAGCCAATGTCATGTTTCTGACAGTATCGGCCTGCTCGCTATTTAGCTTTTTATGAGTCGAATGACCAGACGGGTGGAGTGACGGCTCGTGATTGTGGCATCCATTCATCACGTTTAACTTCCAATTACCCCCTTTGGAAAATATCTTCACTTAAAAGGCAATCAATTCGGCGTGAGCTGGTCTGAAGTCGGTGCTCTTTTCCAACCTTTTGTACGTTTACGGCACCTCGATCACATTTGAGGTAGACGCGCTTTCCTGCAATCAGACTTTTAATTGTAACAGCATAGCCTTGGCCACGTGCGAACGTCTGCACAGTATCAATAAGTTGCTCCCGACTGGCATACTCAACTTTGGGAGGAGGAAGCATGTTATTGCGTGGTGCCATATCAGTAAACGCTGGAGGAGCTAGACCACAGGCGTGAGTAGTATCTTGGATATTTCTTACGTATTACTTGCCAATTAATGGCCTAGATTATCGAGTAATACCTTTGTCAGAAAACAAATCTTAAAATGAATAGGGATTTTATATGTAAGATGTGAAAGGAAGGGTGTGAATTTTTGAGGAAAAGGGGTGTGAATTTAGAAATTCCCTGAATTAATTCTGCCATAAAACGAACAAAATCTATAAAACAACACAAATTTCTCGACTTGGGACAAAAAACGAAATGAAGGGAGTGTCCACTTTGCAAATGGTGAGTTTAGTAAATGTTGCGACAAAGTCTAATAAGCACTTTCAAAACGATGAAGATGGAGGAAATTCTATGCAAGGTGGGGCGAGCTGAACCATTTTAGCACTAAACGAGAGTTTCGAGGAGAATTGAATGCATTTAGGGGATGCAATTAACGAGATCGTCAACGCTTATATTGCAAACTCCACGTGGATTTCACACATAGAAATTCGTCCTTCCGTGGGCCAAGCAATTCGTATTTTGGCATTGAGCAACACCTCGTACTATACGCGGGCATGCAACCTATAGAAAGTTGATCCCACTTTCCACCTCGGATCTGGCAATATTTTATGAGCGTTTTGGCTCTCGTCGATCCTCAGTAGCCCCGAGAAATACGTGCAAATGTTACATACGATTTTCACACACTGTCATCCGCCTTCGTAGGGCCTTTTGATCGAGCGCGAACAGAAATATGTCGTTTTACGGCTTGAACAAAGTAAGTGAATACATTTTGTGTGGCATAAGCCCTTTTCATAACATGCTATAATCAAAAATTTTGTGGTACCTATAGATAATTTCGACGAAGAATCATGATGAGCGCAATGGAGTATTCACAAGGATCGCCAACAGACAGCTGCAAAAGACAAATTCGATATCGCATGAAGGGCATCCTATTGACCACTGGTGGCTGAGATAACCCTTTTATTTTAACGGTGCCTCCTCAAATGCCTCAATAGAAAATCAAGCCCGTCGAACATGATCACGAAGTTGCAAGAGCATCATTCCGTCTTGCCTACACACATAAATGGGTTCTTGAGTGGTATCTTGATCATCTTGCATCTACCGCAACAGCAGGAATTAATGATCCAGATAAAGATGCCTCGCGTGGAGGGCCCGATAGCAGACGAGTACTAAACGTGATTTATTTGCGAATGAGTTCAGTAAAAGGAAGCGTCATCAAGCATCAGAACAAAGATTTGGATGCCGTAAAAAAGGAAATCCGCAATAGGCGAACGTATCCCCATCCTAAAAATGACGCACTAATTTTCGTCCGCCTTGTCTAAATTTAAGGGTGTAGCTGTACTGGAGGGGCCTTACCGGATCTAGAGAGTTCGTAAAGGTCTGGACGTACACCATTTCGATTTTTATTAGCGCTTCCAACAACACAGAAGTGTAAATTTTCTAACGAAATAACGGCTTCTAAATAAAGTTTGCATCACGGGTCTCAAAAATGTATCTGCATTGATGCGGTATCAGCATAATTTCAACGCTTATGACAAACATGCGAGCTGACTGGACCTACAGACCTACAGACATTCGCAAAGTCACGTTGTTTTTCTAGCTCGCTGTTGGACTTCGCCATGCTTTTTCCACACTGGTGCGTAATCAGGATTTTGATAGGTAACATACTATGGCAATCACATACTCTTCGCTATCAGAATCCTGTTTTCGGCGAGCTGCGTACAGGTGTAGTTCTCTCGCTCTGTTGCAACAGGAAGAGCACGGAAACATTGGGTAACGCATGTAGCGACCCGGTTTTTCGCGGTGGCTTGCGGTCTTGTATCAAAGTGCTATCGTACCGCCTAACGAGGTACAACTACGCATCCGCACCAACTAATGGATCAGCCACTCCCTCTCATCAATAAGTTGCAATGCACGACCATTGTCATCGCTGGGTACCATACGTCAGAGCCCAACCAGTTAGTGATGCAATGGAGTATCAAGTGTCGTACTCTCTCATCTACCTGACGTGTAATTTGCAAAGACTGTCACTTTGTAGTTGACAAACTCAAGCGCGGCTTTGAACCCGCTTTGACAAGACTAATCGTTTGTACAAAGATGTCTTCGATGAAACACTCGTATGTTGTACTGTTCAGCGGCTTGTTCTATCATATCCGTGCCATGCGTGCAGTATTACGGCACTTTGAAGGCAGATTTAACTCGCTTCCACGTGCCATGTGACAACTTGATCATAGCTGCTTATTATTGCAGCACAGTCACGCTCCTTTAATCGTGAAGCTTAGTGATCTCTCCAGCATCTTCATTCACATCTCAAGCACCTTCTTTTCCCTCAACAAACGAGCACAGCGTACCAGCTGAGCTTTGCAACATCCTCGCTCTCATTTTCAACATCCAGACAGACAGTAGTCCAACGCTGCCTCCTCTGCGATATTCGTCCACCGAAACCGTCTCTTGTCGCTTTTCCAGCCAATCTTTTTAGCGGATACCGTGGCCGTGTTTTGACATCATTCTTAAAATTCCAACGACAGGCACACATAGTCCCCCTATGGTCCAGTTTGCCAAAAAGCTCGCGGCTGCCCAGCGACCGGAATGGAACGGGTGAGGCCATGATCAGAGATATTGAATATGCAGTTATATTTGAATATCTATGTGCACCATCAAAGATGCCTCTACTTCGCTCTTCTGACCATACATTGTTGACGGTCTTTTGATTGATTTCGATGCGAACTCGTGCTTGCTCCCTAGTCACTACCTCGAGTACAAGCAGCTCAAGAAGAAGCTACGGACGGTGCTGGAGGCCCAGCGTGAAGAAACGCGCGGAGAACAGGAGAACTTCAAGCAAGCACTGGACTCGGAAGTGGAGCGTGTGGTGCTCTTTTTCCTGACCAAGCAAGGAGACTTTGCCACGACGCTCCAGGCCTTACGCACGCAGCAGCTAAACTTGGCTGCTGGAGATCTCGAGGCTATGCACTCTATTGCCGACAAGTACCGACGGGTGGGGGATGACCTGGTGCAGCTGCTGTACTTTGTCACCCTCAACGCGACGGGGATCCGCAAGATCCTCAAGAAACATGACAAGACGCTCAAGGAGTACAAGATCATGGGCTCGTACTTGTCGTCCCGAACGGACTCGCAGGCGTCGCACATGCAGCAGCTGTACCATGACGAAGGCATTTCCGCAATTATTGCTAGTATCCGCTCGGCGCTTACAAAGTTGCGGAAACTGGAAGTCCAGCTGGCAACGGATGCCACGGACAAAGCGGTAAGCCGGACAATTTCTGAAGATGAGCCAGTGCTGAGTCGAATTGGTCAAGCGCGTCGACGACTGCATCAGTCGACGCAGTACGTGAAGACGGTAGCTGCGCGGTCGCTTATTTTTGATGCCGAGTCGTCGGAAGATGAAGATGACGAGACGTACGACATGCTCAAGCGGCTGAAACAAGCTTCCAAGCCATCGCGTGTGCTCAACATGCTCAACACGTTCTTGTACATGACGAATTACTACATCGTGGCTCCTACGAGTGGAAAGTACGCAGCTGATTTGGGTGCTGATGCCTCGATGAGTGGTGTCATTGTAGGTATGACACCCGTTGCCTCTCTTGCAAGTGCAGTGCTGTATAGTTGGTGGGCCAATCGCTCGTACAAGAACTCGCTGAGTTTTGCCACGGTGTGCCTAATCCTGGGCAATTTGTTGTACGGCATGGCACTGTCGTACAACAGTGTCGCGATGGCGTTAACTGGACGTATGCTCAATGGGTTTGGTGGTGCCCGTGCAATCAATCGCCGCTATATTGCTGACAACTACTCTCGAGAGGAACGGACGCAGGCATCAGCGCTCTTTGTGACTGCTAGTGCACTCGGCATGGCAGCAGGCCCGGCTCTCGCGGCTGGGCTGCACTACCTGCCTGACTGCGAGTTTGCTGGTATCGAGATCACAACGGAATCCTCACCAGGATGGATCATGTTTGTGCTGTGGAGCATCTATCTCATCGCTTTGGTGGTTTTGTTCGAGGAGCCTGACCGTCTGGAACGAGAACGCTTCCTGGAGCAACGACGATTGTTGCTGGAAAACGGAAAAGTGAATACGAGCAAGCTTGCAGCGGCCGTCGAAATGGAAGAAGTCACGCCACTGATTTCGCGAACCTCCTCAATGGCGGGCAATCCTTCAGCCCTGTCATCTCTTTGGCACAACGTGCCCGTCGTGGCATCCCTGTTCATCTACATCGTTCTCAAGTTGGTACTGGAATGTCTTATCACGGCCAGCTCGACCATTGCTATGTACCACTTCAATTGGGGTTCCAGCACCAACGGCATGTATCTTGCTGCATTAGGGCTCCTAATGTTTCCGACCAATATGGTGGTGGGCTGGATGAGCTTTCGCTACGAAGACAGAGAGATGATGATGCTGTCCGAATGTGCCATGTTTATCGGTGTAAGCGTTATCGTGAACTATGGCCACTACACCGTCGCGCAATTTGTTGCCGGAGGTGTGCTGATTTTCATTTCCACGAACGTGCTGGAAGGCGTGAATATGTCGCTGCTGTCCAAGACGATCCCAAGGTCTTTTGCAAAAGGCACGTTCAACTCTGGATTGCTGGCCACAGAAGCTGGTACGTTTGGACGGGCTATCGGTGACGTTGCGATCACAGTCGCGGGCTTGCCCGGTATCCAGTACGTTCTCAACTGGACGTTCGTGCCACTTGTTGGCATTTCTCTCCTGACAATTCTCTACACTTGTCGAGTGTACCGCACGCTTGTCACCGACGATTAGTGCAGTAGCCATGCTGTGGAAAGGTCACGTAGGTGCTATCAATGATTTCTTCGATAGCGTCATTGTCGTGTCTTGCATCCATAACTTTTTGACCACTTGATCATAGACCGAACATCTTTGCTTGCTGTGCGAACCTCCGCCGTGATGCATACATGCATGCACATCCCTACGTCTCAATTTTTCGGTTGGTGCGTTACAAGGCACACCATTAAACAACCTTCTGGAGCCGTAAATAGAATGTTTATCGGTAGCAGTGAAGAATACGGTAGTGTACTTGTTGGGGTCGTTTGAAAATGCCGCTTCACGATGGATTCTCTTCCTGACATTACCAATTTACCCATCACTTGTCCAGTACATACTCAAGGCCCAAAACATTGTCATTTATAACGGTAAGGCCTTCTTTCCTTACCCATCTGTCGTATGTAGAGCGGTCAAGGGCTTACCTTCCTTACATACTTTGACCGCTCTATTACCGATGCAATGCTCGACTCAATTTTTTTTTTTGAATGTTCAAGCAAAGATGAGTAGCATCTAAATCTGCACATATGCTTAACAAGGGCACACTATTTGTTGACACAGGGGCCAACGATAGAAGATGTACGTCCAGGCGATTGTGAACATTTACATGAGTCAACATCCAAGTCGTGCTCCCACGTCATCGATTTTGACTTCAGCGCTTCGCGTAGCAACAAATCGTGGCTCGAAATGGCGATATGAAGATGAAGACATGTCCAAGTGTCGCAGGTAGCAAGGATAATATGTGCAAAATTGTTGAATCATTTGGACCGACAGGTGATGCCAAAGCGATTTCTACAGCAGGTTTATAAGCATTTTTACGGTGCACAATGCAAGGACTGGCCAAGTGTCACCTTCAACTTCAGCGCGGTAGTCAGCAGTAGTATTTTTGCTAAACAACGAGCAGCTTATGTTTGCAAATCCTTGATGTCGATATTAACTTAGCTCTAGCTGGCGAGCATTGTCTGCAAGATCAGGCTTGTCCCAGCGGTGATGAGTGGACTGAATGATGTAAGACTTGCAAATGTACAAGATTTTTGGACGGTATGGACTTGATGTGTGCACTTGCTCCGTGTGATCGACCTATAAAGCATGGCCCTGTTCGCGCGGAACCACAATGTTTAGCTGCACTGGATCAACCTGCTCGCCATACTCAGCGCTCCGCCTCATCGAACGTCTTGCCCCATGACTTTTTAGTACAGCACTGAGCCGTATAGCTAGGCAACTTCAGCAGCGATCTGAAACTGGATCAAATGCGTATCCTACGAGGTGACCATCTCACAGGTGGACCATGTCGCGACGAATCGATCGGGAAACTGAGCCAAGAGTTGATCGATGCGTTAGTCATCGTCACTAGCGTAGAGCTGCTTGAACTTACCAACATCTGCACATCGCCTATGGGCCTCAGATCATCAAAGGTGGCAGACTGCGCCATCACAATCTACAAAACAGAATGAATCGAACACGGGAGCTGGTTAGCAAGATGATGCTGACTCACGATTACACACACATGAAAAACACCTTCACAGTTACTTGCTCTCACATGATGCGTAGTCGCTCGAACCCGAAAAGAAACGCACGGCGACATCAACTACGCCAATTACAGGAATGTGATGAAGACATAGCTGCCGCGCTATCTCGAATCAAATGTCAGGAGTGGTCCGGCTCGTATCGGGGTGAGCCGTGCTCAGCTGTTGCGCGCCATTCTGGTGTTTAATCCGCACTACGGTGCATGTGATATCGTCATGTAAACGCCTCCGTACAGAGCCTTGCGGCATCGACATCAGTTCGTGCATCATCAATCCATCTCGGTGCGCAATCTTCTCCAGGGCTGCATGAATGAGGGCAGCACTTGCGTCCGTAAAGAACAAAGAATGCTTCGAGTCTGTTCATTGTAGAGCAACAATCAGTTTTCACTAGATCTTTGTAAACCATCACCATCGTACCAAATTTGTCCACGATCTGGACAGCCTCTTCTGGCGTCACGACATCCCACAGACCATCACTTGCCAGTATGACATACTTTTCGCTACCATCCATGTAAATGGTAGATATGCTAGGTTTCGATGTGATGTATGGTACTTTGCTCTAATTGCCGTACACACACAGCAAAGGACCGTGAGTCTGGCAGCTAAAAAAGTACAGCAAATGTGCATATTTACCTTGAATGGCGCCATACTGAGCTCTGGACACTTGAGGTAGAAATCACCGAACGCACGTGTCATTGCCAGGCTACCAGCCACGCGTTGAGCACCCGCGATGCCTAATCCAGCGGCTAAATCATCTTTGCTCATCCTAATAGCGTTGCGATCATGCGAGCGCTCAATCACTAGCTTGGTCTCATGCAAGTTGTCGCACGAATGATCAGCTGATACTTCGACCGCCTGTAGTTCTCCAGTCTCCTTGTTTTTCTTTCCTAGCACAGCAGCACAGTCTCCGACATTTGCGACACAAAGCACCTTGTGAATGAACAACGCGATGACAGCGCACGACCCAGCGTTGCAGTAGCCCTTCGACATGCGGATGGTGGGATCAAGAGCTAACAGTGACTGCTTGAATTTCTCGTCAGAGCGAGAAAAAGCGTTATCGACTATAGCGTGGATCTCATCACTAGAGCTGTCGGATGTAATTTCAGCAAGTATATCTTGACAAAGCGATGAGCAGAGGTGACTGCACGAAGCACATTGACCAGCATTAGTACGCGTTACCTCTCGAGACATAGTTTGCATCACGTACTCTACTGCTCTCGAGCCGCCATGCCCATCAAAAACTGCGTTGATCTGAACACCAGTATCCGTTGACTTTACAACGTTCACGCTGCGGTCCTCGCTCGGACTGTTAGCCTAGACCGAAAAATGGTTAGCATAGCAGTGACTTGGGTCTTATCAACGGCCATTCCATCTTACCTGGTACTCTGATGTACAATGGCTCAATACCACATGAGCTGGAATGTCAGTATTCATACCTGCAGTTCGTTGCCGCTTCCTCGCTCCTTGTCCGCTACCAACACCACAGCTATCTGATCCACTACTGCAGCCAACAGCCGACAGCAGTGACGGTCGTAGTTTTACACCACGACTCACGTCCCACAAGCAGCAATAAGTCACTTGTGCCGAAGTTAAGCTGTGCAATACATTTGTATTCGTCGCGACGACAAAACTCACGCCCACAACATCACACCCTAATCCTCGACAGTGCGTTTCTCGCCGCCAAGATGCTCTCCACCTCATTCACCAAGTCCGCAACTGCATCAAAAAGAAAGAGAGAGAGCGACCGAAAGTGATAGAGGCACAACCCGTCAGCACGTGCTTCAGTAGCGCAGCAACGCTGCCTGTCCTCCCACACCTTCGTACCTAGCAGTATCCTCGCTGTCTCACTGATTGTCTCGCGCTTCAGCTCCACACTAAACGCGCCGTTTCCATCGTCAGTCGACAAGCATGTGGACGCATCACCCATCATCTTGGCAACTAGAACTGCGTCCTCTTCCTTCAGCTCCACCGTCACTTCTCGCTCTTCTCCCTTCTCATCTTCCTCGTCTTTCTTCTGCCTCTTCTTCTTGTGCTTCTTTTTCAGCACCGAGACCTCTCCATACGCTACAGCCAGCAGCACCACACACTCCTCAGCTTCTTCTTTTCTTCACCATTACCTACATAGTGCATTGCCAGCTCCACTGCCTCGTACCGAGCTCCTTTGCGCCTGCAATCGCCCCTGCAATGGCCGTCGTCGTTCCGTGACATGTCGATATTGCAAAATCATCCGCTAGCGAATTTCGATTGGCTGAAATTCGATGATTGACATCCAGAGTGATGGTCGGTTCCACCTGTAGCGCCACGACCTGGTCGACCTGCAATGCGTCAAATGGACGGAAGAGATCATTTACCAGATGCTGCAGCTTTAACTGGTCGCTCAAGATAGTGGCCAGGTCCATGACGATCCGCAGCGCACGCAGCTCGAGACGATGTACCCACACCGGTCTAGTCGACAGAGTGCTTTTAGCCAATGAGAACGCTGAAGTCTTGACAGCACGCGGATTGGCTAAAACGAACCACGTCAATTGAAAAATCACGGCTGACAAGACCCCATCGCAGGGGCAAAGGTGTAGCCACATGCGGCGCGGCTTCGCGACGACATGGCGATGAGTACGTGTCCGATTGATTGGCACTAGTGCGGTTAGGTTAATTGTTTGGTATTGATTAGATCTGGTGCTGAATCCTGCCAATAGCTCTCTCAAGTGCTGTACTGTCGTCGACTAAAGTACTAACCGTGTGTATCGACGTGCTTTTACATTCGTGAGCAGCCTCTTGACTACAAGCAGAGACACGTGCTGCAGCATTTTTACTTCACTCGTGGATGTCATTATTGGGAGGTGATAGTGGAGCGTATGGACGATCTGCGAGGCGTCGTTGTTGGAGTAGCGTCGTCTGAGACATTCGAGACTGGAGCTTCCGAGGACGTGGGTGGAGACGTCGCTACTGATTTTATCGTGAATAGCGGCGTCGAAATCTGCACAGCTCACGCTATTGATGGGGGAGACACTGTGGGTGTGTATCTGGACGTGAGCGCACGCGAGGTTGCGTTCTTTCGGAACGACGAAGCACAGCATAGTCTGCGAGAAGCGGAGGGAGAAGAGACTGTCAATGATGAGACGGAAGTCAGTCGTGTTGTCGCAGCTGGAGATGAAGCGAGGGAGCTGAGGACGAACAGAACGTTTGTGAGCACGAAAAGAATCTCGTGGCATTCGTTTTAATCCCGAACAGCGTTTGCGGCAATCACAATTTCATCTGAAGCAGAGAGCTTATTTGTTGTGAGATCAGAGCGGCCGAAAGGCTATCGATAGGATTTCGATGGGATGATCGGAAGCAGCAGACGCATAGTTGTTGTGAAGTTCAAGGGTCCTGTTTGCTGTTTAGCATGCATCCTAGACGCATCCGATTGCCAGTAGATCTTTCCTGATTGGTGGACGACCTACTGCAGCCAAACTTTCTCGTGCCTCGCTTCACGCACAGACAATAGGTGCTGGTACGTATCGATGTTCGTATAGTTGGCCATGTTTTTCGAATGACCTTTGGAGAACAGTGCGTCAAATTGGTCTTCTTTACGCGTGTACTCGCGTATGAAGTGATCGCTACCGAAGAGGTGGTGGATCCTCGTCTCATGCAGACGTACAACAACGTGATCCAATCGCATCCAGTAGCGTGACAACACGTAGAATCCCGACGACATCACGCGCTGCAAGAAACAGCACGAGCGATGTTAAATTGAGCAACATGATATACACTGAATCAGTTGCAAAACTCACCACTTTCACCGACATGGCGGAAATGCCATGGTCGTGAAGTTCATCTTCATACAGACTGACATCTTCGAACCAAAGAATAGGCTCTCGCTCCTTCAGCTTTTCATAATCAATGCGTTCCGCTGTAGCTTCAATCTTAACCTCGTCGCCCCGTCTCGTCAATGTAACAGGCGAGCCCTTCGACTGCATAAAGCGTTGTAGCGAGCCCTTATAGTCAGTCGAGTACGTCCAGTCGTACGTAATGTCCAGCTCTTTCACTTCCTCTCTGCATCCGACATCGCATCAACAAATAACGACCATTACATCCACTCCATCTTCGAAAGCAATCGGGCTCAAGAGCTCCACGAACTTGTTCGTGTTGTGCTTGGCAATAGCGACCTTGAGCTGCTTATTGGCCACAATATCCTGCGCTTGGTCACTCATCGGCGGAGGAAAGTGCGCACCCTTTAGAGCTTCGACTGCCAGAAAACTGCAGCACACTCCCGATAGCTCGTGATAGATCACTAACTGGTTCTTTCCGAACACCATCTCGGGCGGCGTCAGCTTGGCCGCTTTACCGATCCTGCACAAATACAGAAGCACTTGTCAGTACTGTTCCTACAATTTGTGTATACTTCTATGAGTACATACGCACTCGTCGACGGTGTCGATAGGCGTAATATGGGTCTTATTTGAGCCAATGACCCAATTGTGGAGACGAATTCCCTTGTGCTCTACAGAGTCCACACGCGTCTCAACGCGACTGTTTTCACGACAAGAGTCACCCAAGTACGCTACAGGAGTGGACGCAGCATCTGCACACTCGTCCGCAGCGTCCACACTCGCGTACAGCGTCTGCAGCAGCTCTAACGCGCCATCGTCGAGCGTGTAGAAGCCCGTGGATGTCATTTTGCGTCCCTCGGCGAGGATGATGACGTTCGCGTGTTCTGATTGGCCGTGCCCATTTTTGGTCCTCGGTATTTATTTGTACATGGCTACACACGCTGTTGGTTAAAATAGCTACATCAGGCCAACGACACAATTAAAAAAAATTAGAGAACTATTATTAGTTTAGAGGTTCAGTGGATTCAGATTGCACATGGCTACACACGCTGTTGGTTAAAATAGCTACATCAGGCCAACGACACAATTGAAAAAAATTAGAGAACTATTATTAGTTTAGAGGTTCAGTGGATTCAGATTGTAAAAATGCAGTATCAACAGTGGCGTCGTGGCAGTCACGTTTGGGTAGAACTGCTTTAGAACAGCCAGAGCCTCTTCAGTGGAATCAAATCCGGATTTGCGAAGCGTAGCTTTGTTCAGGGCGGAAAGCTCCTGCGTTTCAATCCGATCGATTCGCAAGTAGGCGAATCGGATTCTTGTTGGTGAACCAGCAGTCGTTGTCGTCGTTGCCATAACAACAGAGTGCGAGAAGATGGCGCCCAGATCCGAGTTACGATCGCCTTCAACGTCGGACAAAAGACGCATCGTGATCGCCTTTGTGCCTCGTAGAATCATGTCGACGAGGTTCGCACCAAAGTCTAGTCGCGGACATGATCGGTCCGTCAACAGCATCGCATCTTTAGCTCTCAGCATCGACCCGTCCTTTGCCTTCAGCACGGCATGGAACAGGTGCAGGTCCTGCAAAAACGACGGGTTGATCTCAATCCATGGGCGGATGAGTCTGTCGGTACATCGTCAGTTCATATCCCAGTATCGTCACAATACATTCTCGCTCAATTCGTACCTGATCCGGTCAACAACACATTGTATACTCTGCTGCTGAGGTTCACTCACCAGCATCCATGCTGCGACCACCGAGACAGAACGCGATCTACCAGCGATGCTGCAGCACGTACAACACATAACATCCAGTCAGCCAGTCAATCAGACAAGATGTTCAGAGCCAGATGCACAGCCGCCTACCAATGCACCAGCACGTTCGTGTCGTCTCTCTCAGCTCTTGCTCTACCCCATACAATCATCATCCACACAAAGCAATTGCATGAGGCTCCGAGAACACTTCATCAAATCACCTCCACCAATTCCACACCACCAGCTCAAGCTCATCTCTATCTCTTTTCGCACACGAGCTTCTCCAGTTCAGCCAGTACACCCGGCAACATCCGCAGCAAGTCAACATCCTCCGAGTCTTCAATTTCCACATCGATCCTCGAACGACTCAGCAGCTCCTCATTATATCCAACAGATGCAGTCGACTGAGTCGATTCTGCAGCTTCTGCTTCCCCTTTACCAAGCAACGCGAGCACTCCACCAATGCGCAACCGCTTCAACGCCGCCTCGTTTCGTGCAGCGTCAATGGACCCTAGAAAGATTCTGCCTCTAATCCGCATGGGCTCGTCGTCCAGGACTTCCTCGACCTGCTCCTCGTCGTACCACGTCGCATGTTTTACTGTAGCCATGAATTACGATGCAAAAACTAATGGCTACAAAAAAGGAAGAACATTTTAGCTGATGGTCGCTAAGTACGCTTGTTTCACTTAAGTTCGCCGTGAAGCTTCGACGGTGGCGCAACACTAAACGAAAGTCACGGCGGACCTTCCGAACGGCGATCGCAGAAGGCCCCACACTGCGTCCCACGTCCTCGATCGACTTGTCGTTCCAGCCTAATCGTTGAGTATAGACAGATACGCTTTTATCTCTGTGCTTTGGACAAGCAACCGGCGTGTGTAGGCTTCACGATTACGATTTCAAGAGCGTCGAGATGAGTCGCTCAGCAGCTACAGCTGCCGCAGCAGCTCGCGCAATCAACGGCGTCCAGGGAGAAGAAGAGAAAGTCGAGATGGAGCGATTGTTTAATCGCATGAAGGATCTGCGCGTTTCGAGTGCCGCACGTGCTGCGAGTATCTTGAGGGATAAGGAGGAAGAAGAGGAAGAGGAAGAAGAAGAGGTGGACGAGGATTCGAGCGCTTACTCGAGCGCTTGGGACGACGACGAGGACGAAGACGAGGAAGCAGAAGGCAGTGCAGAAGAAGAGGAAACGAGCTGGATTGTCTGGTTCTGCTCTCTCCGAGAGAACAGCTTTTTATGCGAGGTGGACGAGGACTACATTGAGGACGATTTCAACCTCACGGGGCTTAGTAGCATCGTGCCGTACTACGACTATGCTCTGGACATTATTCTGGACATTGAGACGCCCAATGACAATAATCTCACGCAGATCCAGCAGGAGATGATCGAGTCCGCGGCTGAGATGCTCTATGGACTGATTCATGCTCGCTACATTTTGACAACGAAAGGCATGGCCGCCATGTTGGACAAGTACCAGAACGTAGACTTTGGTCGCTGCCACCGCGTGTACTGCCAAGGTCAGGCTGTGCTGCCGGTAGGCCAGTCGGATGTCCCAAGACACACGACTGTCAACGTCTTTTGCCCCAAGTGCCGAGACGTCTTCTTTCCCAAATCGCAACGAGCAGGCCGTACGTGCAATAGTGGAGCAAGGATATCGACGGGTGGTGAACGGCCTGACTGAGCTATCGTTTTGTTGTGGCAGAGATCGATGGCGCGTACTTTGGCGCGACCTTCCCGCATATGTTCCTAATGACGCATTCCCACCTTGTGGTGTCGCCGCCGACGCAGATATACGTGCCCCGCGTGTTCGGCTACAAGATTCATAGCTCGAGCGAGTACTACACTGGCAAGAAAAAGAGCGCGTCCAGTCGCGAGCGGGAAAGGTATCGTAGAGTAAAGTCGATGACTAGCCGATTGAAACATCGACCGAAAGACGACGAGCAGGCTAGGTGAACTCCCAATATAAGCAGTGAGACGGACGACGGTGCCGCTTGATGGGAACTGGACGGGAGACTGATTTGTGATGCTCGGACACCACGTGTTGATAGCAACAAACGCTGCATCCGTATAACTTCGTGAAGGTGTCCAGTAACTTGTACACTACAACGCGAATGGCTCTTCGCTTGGGTGTTTGAGTTGCGGTACATGCAAACCTTCAGATATGTTCGTGTCCGTAAACGCCCCGTTGGATGTCAAGTTCGTTTCCACGCCAAATGCGAAACACAGCTGATGCTGTACCCCAGTGCTGTAGAATGTTGTGCCTTTCTTACTATCGAACGCACCACCACACTTTCGTTTAGCGGCCACTACAGCACAACAAGAATGGCATCGACTGTCCAGGTAACGTGTCCAATCCCATCCCGGTAGAATCGCAATGAGAAGAAGTAGTCCCAATCTGAGTGCACCAGGTACTCTTCGATAAACGGCAGCGATAGCGTCTGACGCCCAGTACAGCTGGACCGCACTCTGTCTCGAAGGACTTTGACATAAATGTCGTCGATGACTGCAGCCGGCAGAAGTCTTATCAAAGGAAGCGCCTCGGGTGGAGTGACTGCCTTCACGCTTCTTTTGATGCTTGGCCTCTGGTAGAGGGCATTACTGGTCACTGCAACAGTCAACATTTGCTCGGTATTCTCCCTTTCGCTGAGCTGCAGCAGAATTGGTGGTCTACCTTTTGTTGGATCAGTCTCGTCAATGACAGCGCGCACCTGACCAACAAAGCCGACGTGCCGATACTCATACGCTTCCGACTGCAGCTGTAACATCGACAGGTCACTAGAACGAGAGACAAGAGTTAGTAATCGCCAGATATGAACAAGCCTTTGCTGCATCAAGGTACCGTCGTACCTCAGTGAACTGACTGTCAAACCGAACACTTGCTTGAATTCTTCAACACCTGTCGGCAAGCGGTTCCGGGGACGATACTTTGTTTCAGTGTGCGTGATCATGCTGCTCTCCTTAGTTACCCCATCCATTGCAATAACGGCGTTCTTTCGGACATTGCTCGCGAAGCGACTATTCAGACTGCATTCCTCAATAGAAAGATACGGGGTCACCGCCTCGTTCACACGAAGCACGGAAAACTCACTCGTTGTTGCATACTGAATGCGGTTGCCACCAGTATTGGCACCAGACAGCACGACCCACTGAAGCTTTGTTACCATCAAAGTATTGCCTGCCTTGAGGGAGCGAAAAACGGCTGGCTGGGAGCCCTCACTGACTCTGACAACCAGTTCATGCGGTGAGCTGCTATCGATCATCTTCACCCACCTGTAAACAGTTGTTCTGGGACCTTTGTCGTCTGCATTACGATTTCGTCCGAGACAGACCTTTCCGACATTTGACAGCACGCCGACAAAGTCAAAGTACATCATGTGTAAGCTGCCAAGCGCTTTGTTATCCCAGTGCAACGTGCTCAAGGTGGTCACGAAGCTGCACTCGAGCCACGATGGACGCAGCTGGGAATTGCTGCCTGAACCTGTTTGCTGGGGTAGTGAAGAAATATCGTCGCTGCCTTGTAGCAAACGCGGTGCCACCTCGGTCATTTCCAAGACTTTCCAATATCTTCCTGTAAGGGAAAAACAGCAAGCGTGCAATCAGATAGACCGATCACTCGAGGCAGATACAAAACGTGACACGTACTTGGCACATGGAGAGCGCTTCCAGACGATCCAGGTCCGTAGTAAATTAAGGGACTTGTCGTCAACGTCGTCTGAAGCGTGTGTGGGCTAATGGTCGAATAACCTCGAAATTGGATAAGGTCACCTTCGTGCAACGACAAATAGTACTTTGCGCACATGGGGTCAAGGAATAGCACCTCGAACACTCCCGTCGAGTCCACTTCAGAGCACAAACAAATTTAGAGTGTTCACACATCACCGATCCGGTCGATACAACATTAGCTACCTCCGTGCAATTTGTGTCACTCAAAAACGTACCTACAACCGCATTGAACGCGAATGGAAATGGATTCGCAATGTCCGGATCCCCCAAGTTTATCAACTGAGACTTAACCCGAATGACCCCTAGCATAGGCGGGTACAACTCGCTCGATCCTCCATTCATTTCACCGTGTTGAATCTTCTCGAGCACCTCTAGAATCGTAAAAACTCTCTTGCACTCGGGCGTGAATAGATCCGAGCAGTACTCGGGATCGGTATTCCACGCAACAACTGCACTGGGCGTCACTTCGTTCAGTCCATTGCACGACCCACCATCATCATCATCATTATCAACGTTAGTAGCTATAGAGACGCCGTAGCGACGAGTCCAGTCCTTTTCCAGCTCATCCAGTGGCGAGTCTTCTTCCGCCTTGCCACCAGTAAAACTACACGCCCAGTCAAGTGCGTAATGATCCGATCGCAGCGGCAAGTAGTAGACACGCCTCCCTACCAACGGCAGCAGTTCCACTTCTCGCGGATGAACTACCGACAGAAATTCCAGCTGCTCAGTACTTCCCGAAAGCGTCTCATCTTTCTGTGGATCCCCTGCTATGCAAACATTCCCGTCCTTGTGACAGGGCGGCACCACATCAATTTCCTCCAGCACAACGACACTTCGTCTCTTTCTGCTTCTTTTTTGTCCTCTTCGTTCCGCTGCATCGATCGAAACCACTTTAAACTTGTACACCTTTTGACAGCACCGAACATACCAGCAATACAAACCGACAGAACAACGTCATATCAAGAAACAAACGAACGCTCTGCCTCTTTTATCTCCAGCTGCTTCATGACGTCACAAACGACGTACTCGGATGATGCTCTGGACTTGGAGCGCTCGTGTATAGACGAGACGATGGCACGAGGGGTCGAGGATCGTCTTGATTTTGGTGCGGCCGTCGCTCACGAGCACGTCAAAAACGTCGTGTGTGTCTTGAAATGATTGTCCCATTTGCGTCCGCAGTGTCGGGTCGACCATATCTGCGTCATAACGACATATGAGCAAGAGAGAGCGAGTGAGAGGGGGCGTCGGTGGGTTTGCACGTACAGCGGTAGATGCTGAGCACTTGGACAGTGATGGCTACAGTTGATCCCGCTTCCTCAACGAGTTGACGCACGCCATGAGCAGTCAGCGCTCTAGACGTCGCTGGGCTGTCGTTTGTCCTGCTCGTCCCTTGCATGTTGTGTTATGACGGTATGTTGCTGTTATACCAGCGCTATGCCTTTGTGCACCGACACATGGACATATCGAAAAGATGTTGTCAAAAACCGGTACATTCCACTTCATCCAGTATCTGAAACCTCTCACCGAGAATTCCGAGAACAAAACTTGTAGCAGTATTCGTACCACCTTAAAGCCACAAGGCGGTGTATGTTCTACCACAGTAAAATCCCACCAAAAGACATGACACTACTGCTACAAACTCATCCCCTCTCTGATGCACCTATTCGATCCACTTCCTCCTCGTGGTTGTAGCCATCTCTTACCCCCTCGCATGCCGCCGTCCGCACGTCGTCGCGTAACCTTCGTGGGCGCCGACGTGATCGAGTTCGACGCAGCCCTCGCGCCTGTCGTGCGTCTCCGTGGCGTCTCTTCTGCCGCTGCCAACGCTGCGCTCGAGTGTCAAGCGCGACGCGTCGCCTCGCCGCAGCAGCTGGTCGTCCAGTACATTTCGGAGCTCCAGCACTCGATTCGAGCGCGTGGCTTTCAGCCAATGAGCGACGACCTGCTAACGCTACAGACCCAACACCAAGTGATCGAGCTCTTGTACGTGTGGACAGCGACTGGGGTGGACAGAAACGCGGACGCGACTGATGTAGCGACGCTGCGACGCGCCCGATTGGCCACCAAGCTGCTGGACGGACGCGTTGATGATGGCTACGCTTTCGGGCGTCGGTTCTTCTCCGTCCCTCTGTACGTTGAGACGCTGAGCTTGGAGGAGCTGGTGCAAGCTGCAGAGGCTCGAGACGTGGAGCGTCCGAAGCTGGACGAGCAACAGAAAGCAGCAGTGAAGGTGCTGGATCGAGAGCTTTTGGGACGTCATGAGACGGCGGAGGGACGACCGCTGCGGTTGCTGACGTTCAGGCAATTGACAGAGGAAGCACAAGCTCGAGGGGTGATCGTGGCACGAGGAGACGCTGGGAGGGACAGCAGAGGGAAGAGAAGCAAACGAGCGTGGGTGGACGCGCTGCGGCCGGTGCTGGTCGATGAGGTTCGAGCGAGCAAGATGCGAGACCAGGAGGAGCTCTTGTTGCGAGCACGACTGACGGTGGAGATTGAGCGGGAGCAGGAGCAAAAGCAGCAGCAGCGGCTTGTGCAGATCATTGAGGCGATAGTGAAGGATGAAGGTGGGGAAAACAGTGGCGGGTTTGACTGCGCGGAACCTGAAGATGAGGACGCGACAGGGAAGGGGGAAGAGCTCGACGTTAATGATGCAAAACGGACTCGAGGGATTGAGAACACACGCACGTTCTTGGCTGCGCTGGCCAAAACCATGCGTGTATCTAGAGATTGCCAGGGGGATGTTGACATGGAAAATGACGCAATGGCCGGACACCTTTGCTCGAGTCGCCCAGGCGTGAAGGGTCTTGTGCGAGCCGAGTACCATCTAAAGTGCTGAGTGAGGTGAAGCAGGTGATACACCATGAGTGTCGAAACGAACGCAGAGAGTGGAGCTTTGGCTGCACAAAGGATCGGGGCAATACTGGTGGGTTGGAAGCTAGCGCATATCTTGATATGCCAACGATCATGCTAGACATAGAACACGAGCCTGCTGGCTTCTGCTCCGTGGCCATCTCGCGGGTATTCTATTTGGTACAGGACGATCGTGTGGATCTATTCACGGATGATGACCCGTCTTCAGCGATTCAGACGGGCCTAGTTGAGAAGGTCTGCCAACTTGATCACCTTCATTATACCGTTGCTACTTGGCGCTGAACAAATCGTTGCATCGCACGGTAACATTGAAGCAACTGTGGCTAGCTTGAGAAAGCGATAGAATTGCGCCGGGGAGACATGTCGAATAATGTGGATTGCGGCAGGCTGAATGAAGCTCTACCGCATAAATGTGACAAAATTCGAGCTGTACAGCCCGCAATCGTGCATCTTTGCAGCCTGTTTTGTGTGCTGATCACGCGAGACGCTCGTACTGGACAAGCGTGGGAGACATTGGTCGAGAGTGTTGCTTTCCTGCGATTCCATCATTTGGAAAATTGGATGACTTGGCCAGCCATTTGACCATGTATGATCTCACGACATGAAGCACTTCGGCTCGTCCGTGTTGCCAGATTGTCGACTACAGCAACGCAAGTAGAATACCTTTCTTGTCATGAGACCACTCAATTATACACCAGACAAGAAGGGTAATTTCTGCCAGCGACGAATTATCGCTGCGCTGCTGTCGTGCTATTGACACAAGCTTTTTTGGACCAGGGAGAAAGACACGAAAGGCAAAAATGATTGTAGGACGAAGATGGTGGTACTACGGGAAGGGGGACGGTATGTCAGAGCTTGTATGGATTGTCGAACAATGAAGGCTGAGCTAGCGTCGGGTCGATCATCACGCGAGTACGATCGGAATGGGCACGAGACATGGCACTTGGTGGCAGGAGCGGACTCGATGAGCTAAGCAGTTTATCTGGACGTGTCACTGTTGTCAACCGGTTGACAGCTATGGGCTGTGGCGGTGTCGTTGCCAATCACGCGCTTAGGAGGCCTCACGCGATGCATTCTGTTCTTGCTCTCAGCGTCGATCAAGTAGTGGCTAAAGCATCAAGAAAGCAAAGGGATGCCGTGTCAATCGTTTTGCCGACTGAGTCCCCGGAGGACTAAACGATCCTATGCGAGCTATGCGTCAAAAATGTTGATTACAGTATAGAGCTACTGTCTTCTAGTCGGGTGTATACTGCGCCCGGTGATCTGCAAACGCGTGAAGACGCCGACATCCATGCATTGGTGTGAATCTGAAGGATTTTGTATAGCACAAGCTGCTGAGCTCAGGCAGGCTTCTGAAAGTGAGAGGGGTTGTGGGTACTCAACAAGGGCGAACGCTATAACTGAAACCGAAAGTGCGAACCGCGAAGGATATTATTTGTCCGCACTAGCCCATCTGCGTCGACCGTACCCGTCGATTTTTGTGTTGTTACGTTGAGACTGTATCACCGCAAATTTAACTAACTTCTATACCGCAAATACTTAAACGTTCTACTTGCTCTTCAGACGCGCTGGATACTTCTGCGACCAATGATACGTGTACACTCTTGTCTGCTTTTTGCTTGTAGCATATTCACGATCCAATCATAGGCTGAAAATGTGGAGTAGAATTTCCAAGTTTGTCGTATTTACGTGATGTCTGGCGATTTTTGTGGCTCGAAATTGACATGATAAAAGCTTCGGTGGATGATCTAGAGACCGAAAAGTGCGTTAGTCGCTTGTTAAAGTATGTGCAATAAACTCAAGTACGGCGTGTAACTGTGGGTGTTCAAGTTTATGATTTGTTGCTGACGGTCTGGCTTGATATCGTAGGGGAAAGCATCATGTTGACGAAAAGTTTGTATCTGAAGAATTTTACCCGAACTTTGGCGGATGCCGTAAGCAGTTGTGTACAAAGGTATGACTGGAAGTGTTCGAGACACATACAACTCGTCGCTAACGAAGCTGAAAGAATTCTGTCGGCTGCGGTACTCGTTATCAAAAGACGAAAGCAATCGTAGCCTATACATTTGACAGTAGAAAGCATTTGAAGCAATTGTTTTTGTTTTTATTGGGGCATGCTTAGTTTTACAACTATCTTCGGCCTGAAAGAAACTGTTGTTGTGGGGAGCGCCTGACGGGTATTTTAAACACGCAAGCTCCTTGTCTAATGGTCGACGTCGATACCGACTATTGTTTAATATGTATACATATTTATAAATATATGAAGATGTATATATTTATACGAATCGCGCAAATATATTGTAGAAACGAGTGAGGAGGCATTTAAGCGATAGTCCGAATGTCTCACAAGTGTTCAAGAGAATGTAGAGCATGTTAGGGTACAAGGTATCTTCACTCAACTCGATCTTATCTACCTGCATCTAATTACCCGGTGAAACGTGTCATATACAAAAACGTCCTGTCGATGCTTTAGATATTAAAATCCCTACTCAGTGAGCGCTACCATCTATAGAGCAGACGCACTTTGAACGAGCTATAATTCGATGATTGTCCTTGATTGCTCCAAAAATTCATCTCAGGTCAGACCAAAAGGCGATTTTGGTAGAAGGGGACCAAGGGATCAGCTGTAGGCCGTCGCTTTAAAAGTAATAGTGACACTCTAAGTCTGAAACAGGTGAGTCAGTTGTAATGGTTTATTTACAACTGACTCACCTGTTTCAGACTGGTTTCCCGGACAATTTATAAACCATACATCCACTTATCTTAGTACGCAATAAAACACTCGATATACTTCGATTGGCTGTCACTGTATTGACGCAATCAGCGTCATTGATTTACTCTCTGTATTCCTGTATGTCTCTGACATCTTTTCGACGTCAGTGTCTATCCCGTTGCTTGGTCCCGTGTTGACGCTAGGGCGTTCGTTCCGTAGCGTGGACTGTCTGTCTGAGTTCGTGATGACCCAGCCTTCCAGATTTGATGACCCAGCCTTCCATGTTGCTGAACGTATATCAGGTGGCGTTGAACTTACCTGGAACTCCAGATCCCGTATCTTCAACTTCAACCGCTGACCGTACCAGCTCCTGCAGTGCCATCTAGTTGTTAGTGTAAGAGTAAAGATTCAAAGAATCACACTATAGCACAACAATGACTTTGATTAATCTCACTTTCCGATTTCCCGTCTCCCTCTCCAGTCTCCAGTCTTCAGCCTTCGCACCGACACAACAGTCACGTTGAATAACCAGTGTGTTGTCAATGTTTTTTTGTGCAATACGTTCTATTTTACACGTAAAGCGGCATAGGAGAAAGAACTTTATGGCTTAAATCTGGTTGGTGATTCGAAAATGCTATTCCGCAAAAGACACGTACGACGCTGCGCGCGCTTATGCCATGGGCGCGAAGATCGGTCGCATTTGTGACGAGTATCCTGGCCTTTTGGAGCAAAACATTTGTCACTGAATCGCCTACTAATAAATGAACCGATGCTACAGAACCCGCATCGTCGCTACTCCTGACAGAAACCGAAATCTGTCTCCGTGACTGGGAGGTAAGAATACAGAATAACGTCCTGCTGGCCAACCGGAGGCAGTATTGGTGAAGGCAAACGACATATACCTAGCCAAAAAAAGTGTGAAACGGAGCACCGGCTGTATCACGTTAATGTGGGAACCGTGCTCTCTTTAAGCGTCATTTATAAATGTTTGCTACGCTAAAAATACGTTTATGAGCGTGCTTGGAAAACGTTTAGATTATGCAGTATATGGGAGTTCATTAACGGTTCACAAAGGACCTCATCGAGCTCAATGAAATCCCGGGTAAAAAGCTCAACATTAAATGAGCCAAAAAAATTTTAAAAGAGAATTCAGAAAAAGTGATTGAGTTCTATTGCTCGCAATACGCGTGGAAAAATCGCTCAGTGCAACGTTTACCTCTAAATCGACGCGGTGCGCTTCAACAACGGGATTTGTTTACCCAGCAATGCCCGTTATTCTTCTGGTGAGTGTGTCACTCGCGACGTTTCGTATAAGTGCATTTCACCGAGTGCTGCTGTTAGGTTGCTATATGGATATTGATGGATAACCCGGGTTTCTTTTAATGCACTTGCCATGTTTTGGACTCCGTGTCAATTTCTGTACAGCAATTCTGGCACACGACGGCTGCAGCAGTCAGTACGACGGTCAAGTAAAGAAAGAGGTGGTGAGGCTCAAGGTCATCTTCGTGTTCTACTAGCAAACGCACCTCAGCTTCTACAGCTGCTAGAAGTGTCTTGTTCAAGCCTTTTAAGATCAGCATCGATACCTCCATTTGCGGGGACAATCAGAATGATAGCAACCGATTTCTTGAGCGCAAAACAGTCATTCGCTTTTTGGGAACCGCGTGAACAAGGCCATAAATGGACAAGCCTGACCGTTTAGTCACGACCTTTTTATCGTCTGGACTATTGCTGGTCTTAGTGTTGCAGTGTAGCAACGGATCGAAATGTTAAAAGATGGCGGTTGCGCCAAGGAAGTCGATCTGCCCTACTGGCTCAAAGTTAGAGATTCAAGCGGACTGAAATCCTGGTTCGTCCTCATCATCTTTAAATGCTCGTTAGCAGAGTAACAATATAAGCCTTACCAACGGCTCTTCGCGCGCAAGTACTTGCCACACATTGACATGTAGAAACCATCTTAGCTTTATACTGCATTGTCGCACGGCGATATTCGATAATATATTAAGCATGCTAGTTTCTTGTAGCATTTTCGTGACATTTTTGCGGAGCGCACTGTAGCCTAATGTGTGTGTCGAACATTCTATCTACACGGCACTAACTATGAGCAAGATCTCTAACAAAGCCACAGTGGAGGATGACCAAGGCTGAAAGCAGGAGTGCCTGGTGGCCCACTCATTTCATAATCAATTAACTCAATGCGTGCATATAGCAGGTCTCCTTGAATAGCCGAGGGCACCTTACGATGATCACGGGTCGCGATAACGCGCAGTTGTCGGATGCATGCAGCCCAAAAACTTTTCGTGGTTCTATAATGTACTTCTCCCTCCTGATAGACTACATCAATCATGTCAGTCTAGAGCTGGGTTGAAAATACCGTCGCAAGGATGTGCCAAATACACTTCCACTTCCATTCTGCCTCTTCATAATTCTCGTAAAACCGTTCCGCGAGGATTGCCCTTCGGTGCACGAATATGCTGACGACTCGTCTGTTGGAACACGTGCGAAAGAATTGTTGGGTGTGCTGAATGGATACCTGCTCCCCCGCCTAGTGGTCTGATCAGCTTGTCCCGAAAAAACGACGGCGTAGGAGCAATCCTCGAACAAGTACTGTTATTTCTGCAAACATACTATACATCCAGGGGTTTTGTGACACGTATTGTGCTCATGTTCTCATACGTGGTGCAAGGTGAATTGCCGCATCGCTATCTGCTATAATTTTAATACTTGATAGGCTGTAAAGTCATGCCCATGTTAGAGAGAGAAGCAGACGTGTCTATTTAATCTATTTATAGTTGCAGGATGTCTGATGTAGCTTAAGCTTGTTTAGCAACGCCGGTGTCTCATACGGATCCAGTGGTTGTGCGGGGCTCCTTACCCGAGGTGATGGCTCTCCTGGTTGCCTGGATGCTTGTATGGGACATAAAAGCAGACGCACTCCTTGAATTTTTTTTAGTCTGCTTGTCAATACTCCCGCTTTGCGACCGCCCGGAGTTACCGCTGGTCGGTGTGCCAAAATTCCTCTACGCTGCCTTCTTTAGTTACGCTATCCCTTAAAACGTAACGCGATTTCTCTGTAGCCACAAGCTTTTAATGCAGACGCTGCTCAGTATTCACCATACTCGTGCCCAGACCATCTCATAGATACGTTCTTCGTCGGGATGCTCGCTTTCAATACGATCTACCACCACCTTCGATAGCGCCGGCGGCTGCCTGCTGGCACTATATGGTTAATGTCCCTGCAAATGGCTCAGATCCCAACGCTCACCCGTCTAGTGACAGATGAGTTTTTGCCAACAATCATGCGCACAGGGGCAGGTCCAGAAGATATGCTCCGGCGACTCGTTCTCACCATTGCAGCACCGGAGTTTTGAACAACTGGGGTCCAGCTCCTGTCCAGCAAAAACATGTTCAGTTGCCGCAAAGCTACTCGATAGCAACCCATACCTGGTATTCTGTGAGCTTCGAGCCATATGCCCATAGAGAGGCAGGTGTCACTGTATATGCCTCGGATTGCCATGCACTGTTGCTCGCCGCGTTCTCGAGCTGCATCACTTTCGGAGCGATCGTGCCGCATGAGCCTTTTAATCATCGAAACGGTTGTGTCTTGAGCGCCTGCTGGACGTGTTTGTTCGCTGCATAACCTGGGACATTCCAAGGCAGCCCGTAAAGCAGCAGATGCGTGTAGAAGACAATGTCCCGTGCGATTTGGTGCCGAAGAAGCGTCTGACAGGCATCCGCGGTTCGCGGATCCCCGATATTGTCCCCTGCAATGCTCCAATGGAGACCATCACTCTCCTGATCCAGCAGGACTACACTCGGTTGCTCGGTGAGCGTAAGGTCGCCGACACCTCGAATTCGATCAGACGAAAAGAATTCCCAGGCATAGGCCTGCCCCAGGCCAGGGGGGTGCCGCTGACACAAGGTTCTCTCCATGTGCATCCAGCCCCCGACTTTCGATTCGGGCACACTCATCAGTATCTCTATCTCCCAGCGACGCAGCTTGAACTGGAGATGCATGTCGCTACCAGTCGGAGGAACAACGAACGAGTACGTCTGGACCCCGACCCGATGCAGTGCCAGCTACGCGACAGCACATGGCTTGATCTTGGCATACGCCCTAGCAGCTAAAAATTTTCCCTGGAGATCTTCTACCTACGGATTATCAGCCCACGAGTAAGTGAACCAGAATGTTCTCACTTCCGTGGTCATTGCTCGGGAGCATCGAGGTAGTGGTTGCGAAAGCTCCACGACCCACTCCGGGGTAGTTCAACTGTGGAAGATAGGTCATCGAGCTCTGCCATGTACTGCTGATTCCGTCCTACTGGATCCGGTAGACTAGGCGACTACCAAGGCCCGAGCAGCAATTTAAGATTATTGTTAGAGGTACGCCGATATTGCAAAAGCTGGTGTGGTAGGTCGGGTATAGGAGACAAGCCTGCAGTCCAGGACCGTGTAGCGCCCCTAAATGCCCAATCTTGCCAGAAAGAAAAGTAGGTGTTCTTGCGTTGCGTAAGCCACATCATGGTATGCTTCATGCACTGTGTCTTAATGGCGATCAATATACATGTGAGCCTCACATCGTGTGTAGAAGCGCTGGCGTAATTTTGTGGCGGGAGGCACCTGTACTTGTCGAGCAATGCCACAAAAATTGCTTCTGGAGATTTCGCAGCTGCCGTTCCGCCCAAGGCGGGAGGTCAACTACAGCCGCTGTGAACAGGACGGACGGCGTAGCTCTACACTGGTCACGAGCTGAGACACGGTAGCCAGGCGCCGTTGGATGTTGCGGATTCGTGCTGCCCAATCTGCGTCCGTGTTCTTGCCCGTCCCGACGGAGTATCCCAAGTACCTGGTCGTATCACCATACCGAAGCACAGGGATGCCGTAAAACTCAGCCGTATGTACAGCCAAATTTATAAATTTTAGCTTGCTTTTGCGTGGTTGGACCCGTAGTCCTGACAGACGACCAAAGCGCTCCACGATCTGTAGAACTCTCGCAGCTGTTCCGCTTCCTGTAAAAAGACAGTCGCATCATCGACGAATGCAGACTACTTGTGTCGCGCTCCTGCACCTTGGGGAACCAAGATGCTTGTTAGCTGCAATTCATTGTTAATTGCTAGCGCAAGAAGCTCGGCAGCAATGATGAAAAGTAATGGAGAGAGTGGGCAACCTTGTCGTATACCCGAAACATCCTCGTGTGGCTTCGACAGCTCCCCGTTTACAAGGAATTGGGCCGTAATTCTGATGTGAAGGTCCCTGATCATCGCAACAAAGACCGGCGAAAATTCAACCGCGATAATGCCAAGAAGAGGAAATCACGGTCCACCGTATCGTAGGATTTACGAAATTTGAGTATCAGGATCGCCGCACTGTTCTCGACAGGCACTGCGGGCTGGGCCGAGGCTGAATGAAGCACCCCCATCATCATCATGACAGTCTTGTGCATCTGCCGCCCGTGGACACATCCCTGTTGCGAGTCCCCAATCAAAGTCCCCAAGAATCGTTGAATGCGCTTGGCGAAGAACTTTGAGAATACCGTGTATCCAGTCTGTAACAGTGCGATAGGCCTGTAGTCCATCGCGTCGTCCGAATCTCCTTGTTTGCGTAATGGAATGATGTGTACCTAAAAAATGATGTTGGAGGGAGACCCCCTTGAAGGAGCTCGTTGCTAATAGCGACCATAGCAGGTGCCATGATCGCCTGAGTGTCCTTATACAATGGTTATTAAGCCCGTCTGCTCCTGCTGCTTTGTGCCTGTTGAGCCCCTCAATGGCGACACCAAACTCATTTGGACCATTCTCGCTCATCAGAAAGCCATTATCAACCGCCGAGACTCGTCGTGAGTTCGGAATCTGGACAAAGGCATCAAAATCCCTTCCCATGTGCGTATACAGCGTCTTCCTATGCACGACTCCCAATATAGACTGCCATTCTGAGGCAAACCTGTCCGCTGTCGTCATGTTACGCGTAAACGCTGCGCCATTTATTTGACGAACGGTGGAAATGGTTTGATTATTCTCAAAGATAGAGACCCGCCTAAAATTCCACTGAAGGAGATAGTTTGTCCGAACCAGCCGGCTACCAAGCCGTACCAGATGATCCTCTTAAGCCTCTTTGACTGTGACTGCGAGCAGCTCTTTGCGCGTCAAGGGACGTGCTCGGCTTTGGACATCTACCCTTCGCACAACGGTTTTTCGCCTTTGGCCCGCACGTTTCCGCACCCGACGGATACAGCGTACGCACTGCCGAGCAGTAACGTCCCAAGTCACCGCTGTCGCATTATAACCCACTCTCTCTGCTATTAAAACGTTTAGTAATTCCGTAATAAACGAGTAGGCTGCGCAGGTCTGATAGGGTATGTAACACGACGCTCCCCCCACGGAGTATGTTTGGAGACCGTATCATCCTGGAAACGCAACCGCACCTGTTGATGGTCCGACGGTACTGGCGGATCTTCAGCCCTAAACCATCGCACTACAGACGACCAGGCTTGAGGCACGTAGATTCTATCAATACGGCTCGCCACCTCAGACCCCCAGTACGTAGAAAAAATTGTAGGGTCAGGTTCATCGTCCTCACCATCCACGTTGTCACTGAGAATTCTAGTATCCACCAAATTAATAGATTCGACTAGGGCCTGAAGCACCGTACTTTTCGGACGCCCCGACCTATTACCACCGAGCCTGTCCAGTACCGGACTCTGCAAACTGTTACAGTTCCCAGTAAGAACCGTCACCTTCTGCGTCCATGGCCATCGCTGTAATTTAGTGAAAAAACTACTCGTGATTCACCGGCGTGTTTGTTGCATAAACATTTACTAGCCGGAAGTCGCCTATGTCCACTACGATGACTCGGTTGGACAAACCAGACAGATTCCAAGGGGTCGCTGACTCTGCAACAGTATGATTTAGTAGAATCGCAACACCGGCCGCCCGTGCATCACTGACACTCCAATACGATAACACGGGACGATCAAGACGAGGCAGCTGCCCCCATAAGCGGGCCCAAGAAAGGTGACTTCGTCGATCTCGCTTTGGCCGCAAACATGTGTCTCCTGTAAAATCCAGACTAACGGACGGTGGACAACAGGCGTCCGTATCCACGCATTAAGCCACCGCCCCCTGGACTTCCCTTATAATCCTCGGACGTTCTGAGTTTAAATCCTACTGGACCTTTTAAACCGTTTCTCGTACAGTTTGTCCAGCGCTGACTGGGACCGTCGCTGGAGATATTGTGACGTCCGTATATATCGGTGGCTCGGGGGCCCTCTTTGATGGTCATATCCGCAGCCGCTGGGATGTGGCTGCCCTTAGTAATCATGAGTAAGCTCGCCTTCCCCTTGCTCAAAAGCATCGGAAAAGAAGCGTGCTAGTTTGCCCCACTCAACTGTATTGTTTTAGTAGAGAACGAATCCAGATATCGAGCAACCGTTTTCAGCGCCTCAAGGTGCCTGCTCATACGATGCACAGCCTCGTTCTCCGCACTGTCCTCTTGACCAATCAATACTCGAATTTTCTTCTCTTACAATCCAGCCCAAATGACGCGTTTACCAAAGCGAAATCTGTTGCTCACGTCACACAAAGTTAGAATCGGGTCTTCTTCGTAGGCCTGGGTACGCAGACGCTTCCAGTCATCGCGGCTGCTCGTGAGTGCAAGTTAATTGTACGGGGCCGGCCTGGTAATTTGGTGACCCAAGTGTCCAACCACTGGCGCGTCGATGGATGCGACGGCCTTGCACGAAACGATAGCAACCTGGTTTGCACACAACTACACCTATAATCAGCAGTCCATATTTCAAACATCTGATCGTCCAACGCGCTGAGAATTTCCTCTGGATAGGGGAAGCTCTGCAGCATTGAGAGGATCCACCTCGAATCCCGCTCAGCCACCACAATCCAGTCCGCGATGTTACTGTGTACATGGAATAGGGAAACAGTCGCTGAAGCCAACCAAGACTCGACAATATTCAACAACACTTCCTGTCAGGAAGCGCCCGTGCCCCCAATATCAGTTAAACATGTACGCTGAGACTCGCCCCGCATCGAAGCCTCCCTATATTGGGCAATGACAGATAAACGAGTGCGCATTATTTGCCGAATCTGTTTCCCATATACAGGAGTCGTGGAATGGGCCCGCTTCTGAGCGGCTGGAAGAGCATCCGTGTACAAAGCGGTGGATGTCAAAATCAGATGAGATCAACTGATATCCACAGTGGTAGTAACAACCGACGAATGTTCAAGACGGATCACCGGAGAGAGCTAATAAGGCTCGGGCCGCATTTTAACGTCAATGGCGCCGGAAGTTTGTGAAATTTGTGGCCTCCGATTTGGTTTCTTCCAGTGGGGATAACGCAACATTGCCCGGCGCAGCTAGGGTATGTGCATAGGCGGAGTAATGGTCACCCCAGAATCGAAGAAGCAGTGGGTCTTGGTCCTGAGGTTTAGCAGCTGTGATTTCGTGAACGCAATCGCCGATTGCCAAAGGAACGTGTTGGCCGTCTCGAAAAGTTTTGCCCCCCGCGTTGAAGTTCCTGGTCTTTACACGGAGCAGACCCACGCATTCTGACCGTCCGTGTTGTGCGCCAGCACATAGATTTGACGTTGTAGGAAATTGTCCGCAATCAATAATATCTCACTACTGCTCCGATTGTGCCGTTCAACCGTCGCGGACCGTGTCGATGAGGTGGAGGCGTAGTCGTGGAGGTACCACTTAACTTGCTTTGCTGAATCACGGGGGATCATGCCCGTCCATCCACGTAACACATTCACCAGAGTAGCCGTACGAAAAGAGTGATCAAATTGCTTGTCAAAGTTCAGCATGTCCGCCCTGCATATACCGCGTTTTATATTAGAGGTAAGCAGCTCCAGTGTCCTATCCTGGGCGACTAAGTCATGATTAGCCAATGCCTGAGCCAACGCATTACCATACAATTCCCCGTAGCCGATGTAATTACTGGTCGCAAACCGAGGCCCGTCTCAGTAGCGGGTTAAACCGTTGAATCGCTTATCTCCACCCTCGCTACGGGCAGCTTAAAGCCCAGGGCTAGATTACTATCTTTCACCACCCGGCATATAGCAGCTCGTTCCCGCTGCTTAAGCGTGATTAGCTGGTAGTTGCATTTCAGGCGGCTTTTATGAGTGAAGATGTAGCCGCCCTTTATCCTCCGCCGTAATAGTACGCCTAACAAAGCTTCTTCCTCAGTCCCCGACGAGAGATCCACTGCACCTCCTACATAATTGATGGTTTGTTGAGTGAAGTGATCAGTAGTACATTCATCAGGCCATTCATCTAGTCCCGCAGAAAAGATAATTGACGGGTGCACGGCAGAATGGCCCTTGGGACGAGGTTGAGTCCTCTTACTTCTGCGTATTGGGACGGTCATCCACTTCTTCTTGGCGTGGGTTGTAACGGGGTGAATCGTTACATAACAATTTATAAGAAATTGTTAATAGAATATAACTATAAGAGTTATATTCTCAGAATATTGTCAAAAGGACAAATTTTTTTGCAGCACTTACGAGTAGTTCCTAATTGGTTGATATAGGCCATTATATCAACCAACAAAGACGCGCCACGACGGACGCACGCAATGAGTGGTGAGCAGATAACTGATTTACACATTTGTATCTAGACATAGTTAGATGAAGATAAATAGTGATTTATTGCAGACATTAAGTATGATAAATGCAGTTCTACTTTTTACTTTAATCAAGTACTCGCTTCTTCTTACCGTCTTCCTCTGCACGTACCAGTGTACGTGAAGTTCCGAGGCACCGCCTTATTCTGTCATCAGAATAAGTAGCTCGTACTGTCACCAGTACAAGCTTCAGAGTACCCCGTTACACCTGGTAGCACTTCGTAGTCCGTCCAAGGACCACGTTCACATCCAACATGAATATGTTGGATGATGAAGATGACCAAAGCTTTCGCGCTACGCGTGACGGCTACTCCCATTTGAGCGATGTCGAATGGGATGCGGTTGAACGAATGGGTTCAACCATGGGCATCCATGCTGTTAGCGTCATGCTAGAGGCTCTCAATAGAGATGCCCAACATACTACTATCGCCAAGTTCATTCAAAATGACCTTGGCGCTGAACGCGAGAAAGTAGCCTTGCTTCACCAACAAGGTTCTCAACAAGCAGAGTTGTTGAGAGAACAGAGTGCTCAACAGTTTGAACTGTTGAGACAGCAGCAGACTACTGCTGGTGGGTCGATGCATTCGCGTCGACCCGAAACCTTGAAGATTGACATCTCCAAGTATAGGGGAGTCGAAGAGGACGCCCTCTTGAGATTGTTCGTCGAATTAGACGACGATAAAGGTCGCGTCGCATCGACGACGGGGATATGCAAGTTGCATTTGCCCAATAAAATCTGGCAGGACGTGCCAAGACTTGGGCTTTGGGGCTCAAGTTGCACGACCCATATGCGTTTGGGTCGTTGGAAGTCTTCAAGTCGCGGCTCAGACAAACGTTTGAACCGCCTAGATCTGAGTTCAGAGCTCGAACCGAACTCTTGAAGCTCAAGCAGGGTAAGCGTGATGTGCACGCCTACGCACAACATATACGACATCTTACGA